AACATGTTTAATGAATTTGAATAACATAAATAATTTAATTTGTCAAATAATGAAAAATGTGGTCCTCAATTCATTTTCGAATAGTTAATTTAGAAAAAATCTTCCCAATTTATTCAAAAAAGTTAGTACGTACCAAAAGACAAAACTCTGTAATCTTCCATTTTTATAAAAATGCAAAATATGCAAAAAGTAAAAAAATTTACTTTTTTTTTAATATACATACGTACATTACGAGTTTATACTCGTTTTAACTTGGAAGGGGATTTTCAATTTTTACTTGTATGAGGTCATTCTTAATAAACTTTTGTCAAAAATAAGAAAACACCAATTTCTTTAGATATTCTTGAATTTTATTTAAATTGTGTGCATTCTGCTTATCATTTTGATGTTTAACTTTTGGAACTGGAAATAAAAATGAACTTCCAATCATAAAATCGTGTTAACTCGTAAATACAAATCAATTGCAAGAATGAGAGTAATTTTAAATCAATGACAATAATTTTAAAATGAAGAGTAAAAATATTTTAGGATAAAGTCATAAGAAGTAATTGAATGAATTAAATCAGTAACAGGGGCACTTTAGTAAATCGTAACTCTCGTTTTTAGCACTTTTCCAAAAAATTTTTGGAAAAAAGTGCTTATTAATTTCACTCTGTAGGTCCATGCAAATGTTTTCTCTTTGCTCATCCTAAATGCATGCAACCTTTAAAATATATTTATACATGAATGAAACTAATGTAGTAGATACATTCTTTTTAAAAGCAGTACTTTCACTTATTGAAGGGAAAAGTGCTACTTTAGAAAACATTGGCTTAACCCAACTTTAATGCTACCAATTACGAATCCCATTTGAAGCGTTAAGATTTATTTTAGTTAGCAATTAACATTATTCCTCGATAATATGAAATCTTCTGCTAACACACTTTATTAAGTTTTAGCACAAATTTCGATTCATTTTTGTATGTTGCTGCACCTGAGTCAATCTTCAAATTTAATCATGTAGTTTTTTCAAAAAAAAAAATAAAAGTAGTGAGCTACATAGAATTCAGATGCTCTTGGGAGCATTTCTGTTAATATTCGAAAAGCAGCGGCCAGTAAATTTTATGTAATTTAGGAAAAAAATTTAACCAAAGTTTTGTTATAAAACTGCATTTTAACAATTTTTGATTTTAACCATAAAAATGGACTTGGAACTGTTTTAAAATTCATGACCATATTTCATTATTATACAATATATATTGACCATATTATACAATATATGTATGTATGCATATAATTTGATTGTATTCACGCCACTGCAAACTTCCCTTAATGTATGCAAATTTTGAACAAAATATCGAAATAAAAGAAAAAGATTCTATAAAAAAATACTTTTTGAATTTTTTTCGTAGGAGTTTTTTTTTATTTTTATTGTACTGCTTTTTTTTTGCATTGACTCCATTTATTTTTATCTTTTGTCGGTTATTTTATTATTTTGTTATTGCTTTTGGGCGCCATTTGGTGGTCAATTTTTATTAATGGATTTCTATGTCTATAAAACTTTTTTTTTGTAGTTCTTCGCTCTATAACGTACGATATTATTCATGTTAATACCAAAAAATTTATATACATACATACATATATACAGAACATAGATCACATACATACATAAAACATACATAAGTCCTCTCTTCTAGACAATTATTAATAACTGTCATTTTGCTTTGTTTTTTTCCATCTGACAAAAATTATGTGAAAAGTACCTGCCCACAAGCAATTAGAAAATTTATTATCATTGCATCAGGTGATAATAATTTCATAGTTTATGCAAAATGTTCATACATACATAACATATGTTTATATGTATATGGCTGTCTTTATAAATTAATATTTAGTTATAATGATGTAACTAGGGTACACAAGGCTCTCTTCGATGCTTTTAGTAAAACGAGTATAAATTTTTTATTTTATCTAACCTTTAACTAAATGTATAATAAATTAAAAACATGGCCTCTCAAACCATTTTTTGCACTTAACTACAGAAGTGAATTTAAACCTTTAAGTACATACACACATACATATATTTATGTATATGCGTAAGTACAAGATGTTATTCGAACGAAGTATGATGAATGCGCACAGATTTTTTACTATGTGTGGTTTTGTAAACAGATTAATGCAAAAATTATAAAAAATACATCGAAAAATCATAGCTATTTCAAAATTTTGAGTAATAAAATATTTTGTACGTTTGTATACGTAAAAGTACATAGGTATATACAAGTAACTACCATATTTCCATATTCGGCTTAAAATATCAACAGAATATAACATACATACATATGTATCTTTTATTATTTAATATAAATTATATTGAATATAGAAGAAAGCAGCCAGACTAGGCATAGCCCTCCATGACAACATACAAGATTTTTCAATCGCTTCTATGGGTGAAAAAGTAAAATATATATATATATATATATCTATATATGTACATGTCTAAATACTTAAACATTTACATGTTTACACAAACATTCGTTTGGGTAAAACGAACCGTCAATAATAAAATAAAAGATTAAAATACCATGAAATATTTATTTCTGTATTTAAAGAGAACCAAGGTCTATACTCTATAATATCGAAGTCATGATTTCTAACAGTAAGTAGAACAATGGCATCATCTAATATTCAAAAGAAATAGTGAAATATTAAGAACGTTAAACAAAATTTTCGCTATTAGAATATTTTTTCAAAACCCTATAGAAATTTCATTGCGCATCAAGTTTTAGCGGGCAAATCATAATTATAAAATTTTAGTTTTTAGATAAATACTTATACAAAATTCTGATAAATTATCAATTTTCCAAACCATATGGGGAAAAAACTTTATGTGCAATATAACTTCTGGTTTATTTCTGATATAAAAATTCACACAATTTCTCAATAAACCAAAAAAAAAAATAAATTAAAATTCCAAAGATTCAAAATATTATTTTATTGTATAATTTAAAATTTCATAATATCATAATTATTATTGTACAAAAATAAATCAAAATTTTATGTTATTCAATGTTTTATTATACATATATAATTTTTAATACTATGTGCAACTTCAACTATTTTAACCACAATTTTATTGTCAGATATTGTTATCATTTTATCATTGCTTTTAAATAACAAAATTAAATATTTGCTAATCTCCTCATAAAGATAATTGAATTCATTATTATTTTATTTGAAATTATTGTATTATTTACATTATAATTTCTATATTGGAATACCATTGGATATCGATTAACATTTTCAGCTCTAAGACTTCCGGCCATATTATTATAGTGCACAAATAGTATTTAAATAAAGATGAGAGAAATATCCTGTAATTAAAATTTAAATATTGTAACATTTATGCTAAATTAATTTACTTTATAATAAAAGCGAAAATAGTTGAAATTATTTGCGGTTTGTTATTGGCTTTACAAATTAATTTGCTGCAATTTTATTATTATATTAGTGTAAAAATTTTTATGTGTGAATAAATTTTCATATTTAGCTTGGTATTTCAATTTATATTATATACATACATTAAATATAAAATTTTTAAAAATTAGAAATTTTTAAAATATAGTAATTTAATTAATATTATTATACGTAATAATTATTATTGAAAATTTTTTGAATCTAATTAATTTAATAAATTCCAAGCGAATATTCAAATTCCAAAATATTTTTGCATAGTACCTATTTATTCAAAAAAAAAATACTTATATGTATTTTGCCTCTTACAAATTCAAATACAACGTGTCTATAATTGTATTATTGAATCTTATATTCAAAAACACTTGCAACAGCTAGGCAAAATAAAGGTTCTTGTTCGGATTTTGCCACCTAGATTTAATACAAGAAGTTTATATTACAGGGCTATATATCTCAAATTAAAAAAAAAATAAGATATCACAATTTTTAACACTCTCTATCATTTCTGCAGGCACTGAAAAAGGCCAGAAGGCCAGAAAAAATTTAAATCCTTAAACATGAATGAGTAATATAATTTTTGTTTTTCGAATACTTTCGTAAGTTGGTCCTAAATTTTTGAAATTTGGAAAAAATTCGTATTGGTTTTTTTGTAAACTAATTCTACATTAAAGTAGTTGCAGTAAATTTACACAAACATAGCTGGAAAGTTAAGCTAAAAATGTATGAATTATAACTTTCTTCTCTATGTTTATTCTTATCTACATACGAAAAAGGTACAAACTAAAGATCAGAAACAATAGTGAAAAATCAGTTGTAAAAAAAATTATTTTATTTGACAATCCAAATGGAAATGTCAACTATTTTCAAATAATTATTTACTTTATGTCCGTGAATGTCAATTTTTGATGTCAAATTCAAAGAATTCTACAATTTTCAAAATATTTAAATTTAAAAACCAATTTTATTTATTAATTGCCCGTTTTACAAATTGCACATGGGCTCATTTTAAATTTTTCAATTTCCAATATGAAATTCAATACTATAAATATTTAATGTCCAAATAATCTCCTATAAATGAAAGCTAATCCTCATCATAAAAATACACTCAGTCATTTGTTTGCATATATGTACTTACACACGCAAATATACATACAAATATATTTCAGCAATCAAATTAATTTGAATAAATTAATGACTAATCACTTTAATTTTCTATTTGATTTCAATCCACCACAATTTATGCAAAGTCTAAAAATTAATTAAAATCAATCAATAAAAACAAAATTTAACAAAAAATGTTTTTTTGCCCCACAGTAATTTTTCTTGTTTTTTTTTATTTTGTTGCACAATTGGTTCACAAAATAAAAATTTCTACAAATATAAAAAGATGATTGTTTTTTTTATAATCTATAAATATTTTTGAAAAAGGAAAATTGTTCTGACCTTATTCACTCTTTTTCTTTTTGAAAATATCTATATATATTTACATTAATGTTGCTATATTTGAGTTGATTGCTATCTCTTTCTCTTATTTGAATTTATTGTAGGTACCAATGAAGAATATCGTACCAAAAATGCTGGAGAATGTAAAATTGATGCAGATTGTCCAGCAGCATGCCATTGTCATCGAACAACAGTTGATTGCTCAGCACGAGGTCTTAAAGAAATCCCACGTGACATCCCACTTTATACAACAGAATTGTAAGTAAAAAGTACAAAAAAAAACATCTTAATTTTGTAATTATAATACAAGTGTATACCTATAATATAAGTACATACAGCATGTAAAGCTTCTAAACCAATATTGCTCTTTTTATATAAAATTGTTATTTTTTTATTATAGATTGCTTTTTTTAACACATTTCCAACAAAATTAGAGAAAAATGTGCTTATTAACATCGCTCTTCGTGGTCATCCAAAATTATAACCTTGCCTTATAAAAAAGAATAAATTAAAAGTACATAAATACCTTATCAGATATAATCATCAAAAACTATAATTGTTTATCTTGACTCGCCTAATTAGTTTTTGATTCCAATTAGGCGAACACTGTCTTTGAAAAAAGCAATTACAAGAAAAATACTGTTAATGAAAAAGAATGTTAATGAGAATAATGTAATTGGTATATCGCTTTTTAAAAAAAAGTCTTGTCTTGTTCAAATGTGCTACTTTGCAAGCCATTTATTTAATCCCTTCTTGTTCAATATAATTCTCATATTTGTTATATAATGTATGTACATAAATGTGTGTATTCGTATAAAATAGAAATTATTTTTAAAACTTAATCAATTAATTTTGGGAAGCAAAGTAATAACTTAAGTATTGAAGTGAAGTGGATTACTTCAGATTAAGCTGATTTATGCCTTAATTGAAAAATCTAATAATGCTGATATATTGAGAATATAAAAGTTATACTATTAATATAATAAAGTAATATAATAAAGTAATGTAAATTCATTGGCTTTTGTCTTTCTTCTTTATTAAATTATTTTCGGTATATGTAGGCGGAATCGCCGTATCGTATAAAATTAAATGAACATAAAATAAATATATATACATGTTTATGTATATGAATGCATATAAAATCATTAATTTTTAAAGTTTGGAATTGGAACTTAAACAATTTGTTCGTCTATATTTTCTTTGAACTTTTTATGTTTTGGCATCTAATCGAGAATAGCAAAACATTGTTTTTGGAAAAATTTGAAATTTATGAAAATTATTTTGGTGTACAAAATCGTGTACACATATTGGAATGTAAGCTTGTAAATCTACATATTATGCAGCAAGAAAATACATCTTCGTATACTAAAGAAAAGAAAGCAAGAAATGAAATATTAAGATATTAAGGTTACACATTTTAAAAGTTCACAGATTTGTTTGGTTGCTATTTTAAATAAATTACTTGTGTTTTAATTAATAAAGTTAAGTCAAACCAATAGTTTGTAATGTAGTATTTTTCTCTTCAACAATTATAATTTTTTGTGTAAGGAATTTACCGTTAGCTTTCTGTATTCATAGAAATTTGAAAATTTTTCAGCTTTTGAGACGTGTTAACTTGAGAGGGGTGGAGGTGGGAAAAAACCAAATGCACTATTTATTAGTATCTAAAAGCTGTTAAAATTTCAGACTTTTGCAACCTGGGGTCTAGAAGAAAAGCAACATCAAAAATTTGGGAAGATTTAAGATAACGGTAAATTTTAAGGACAAGTTTGTTTTTTTAAAATTCAGGTATGGTATGCCGCAGTAGAAGAAGCAAGCCACTGATCATCTGCGTTTACAAAATTTGAAAATGACCATAAGCATTTATTCACTGTAATAAATTGTTGAAAGTTGGATTTTAAGGGGTTTTAGGAGTTATAACCTTTAAAGAGCGGATGATGGGGAGGGGGTGATGGGGAGGAGGAAAAGCTTTCTGCGGAAATAAGCTTTCTAGTAAAGATCTATTTACATATAAAATTTTATTTTCTATCTTCAAGGGTATAGAAGTTTTGTAAACATGTCCACGGACGGACAGACAGAGTCAAACTAATAAGCATTTTGTTTCAATTTTTTTTTGAAAATTTTTGGAATATTTTATTGTAGTAAAATATTATCGAATTATAAGTTTTACACTTATTTTATTTTATTCTTTTATAATAGCTTCAGATAAAATCCATCATTTAACTTTCACCATTTTCTGCACATCTTTACAGTACCCAAACTATTTGAATTCGAATCTTGCGGCACAGCTACTATATACATATGATATAATATGAAGCAAATTAGAATCAAAAAACAAAAAATTTAGAAAAACAATTTTTACCCCCTAATATTTAGCAAAGCGAAAACTTTATTAATTATGTAAGAAAAACATAAAAAGTATTTTTCAATTTAATATTAAATAATTCGAAAAATATGCATTTAAACCCGCGCCTTTTTTGATATTTGGCAAAAAATATCAGGAAACGAAGCTGTAATTCAATTTATAGTACTCATTAAAAAATAGAATAATTCTTAGATAAGAAAGTTCCATTTAAAATTTTACTTTGCAAATTAATATTGACTGTGTTCACATAAAACATTTTATTTTTTTTTTATTAATGAGGAGAAATTTAATGATTCTTTGCTTTCAGGCTGTTAAATGACAATGAATTGGGACGCATAAAATCTGATGGATTATTTGGACGTTTACCAAATTTAATTAAATTAGATTTTAGACGAAATCTTATAACAGGAATCGAACCAAATGCATTTGAAGGTGCATCGAGAATAACAGATTTATTATTGAGTGAAAATAAAATTAAACAGATTCATAATAAAATGTTTCCCGGCCTTCATAATTTGAAAACTTTGTAAGAATATTTTTATTAAATGCAAAATGAATTTCAATTTATATTCAATTTTCAATTTTAATTTAATTTCATTAATTAAATTTTTAAATTTTCAGATCCCTTAGTGATAATTTAATATCGTGTGTGATGCCAGGATCATTTCAATCACTTTCCAATTTACAGACATTGTAAGTTCAAACAGAAAAAAAAATCAATTTATACAATATTTTAAAAAATTTTTTGTTATTGCATTGTAAATTTTTTTTGTTTTATTATTATAAAAATATTTACGAAATTTTTATGGGTCGAAATAAAAGAGATAAACCCAATACTCATTTAATAATGAAAAGGCGCCAAATGAAAATACAATAGTAACAAAAAAACAAATAGCCAAGTATTTTACATTGTTTTTGAATATTTTATTGTTATGTGCAATGCCAGAGTAGTTGCTGGTTATGATGTGCAATGAATTTGATATATGGTGTTGGGTGCATTCTATTTCTGAAAACGGTAATAATTTAAAATTGTAATCCGTTATAAATGAATGAATGCAAATAAAGTGGATGCAATTTAAAGGCTACATTTTAAAGGGTATAATTTTTGTTTTTTGTCTTTTATGAATTTTTCATTGCGTGTACATATTAACTATGTTGAGAGAGTGTTATAAAACTGGTGCATCCTTTACAATGTTGATCATATTTGGTAATATAATTTTTATTTCCATCGCAACATTTTTGTTGTAGCATACGCAAAACTGAAACACTATCAATTAAGTGAGGAAAGCGTACATATGTATATAGTGCATCTTATACACTCTTTCATTTTTCTATATATACAAAGGCTATAAGTCCAAGCGACAAATTTGCCATTTACAAAAGGAATTTAAATTATAAGTTTTAAGTGGTCATTACTTGTCTACTTACAAAAGGATACTTCAAAATAATGCCGACTCAAAGTCATGAACTTACGAAATAGAGATTGACAATGGTTGCAAAGTTTTTCGATATTTATTGAATTCCACTTGTACAAGTATCCTATTAACATCCATTACAATCTATCCAGTTTATCCAATTTTTTTTTGTTCGTATATTCATTCGCATTATGTGAATGACAGGAAGTTATAACCCCTTTTGTTTATTGTGCAAATATTTAAATTTCTTATTTAAATTAATTTTAAATTGCAAATTCTACTTTTGTTAATTTACTCTTATTGTTCAATTTTAATTAAATTTTGTTAAAAAATATACACAAGTAAAATAATAATTTGTTTCAATTCGAATTATTAATTAAAAAAACCTTCATTCCTTGAATTTAATATTACTTTAACGAAAAAAAAATCTATTTTAATTTGGAAAACAAGTTTTTCATCTCCTGATTAAAACAGCAAATTAATATCTTGAAAAATAATAACACATTAATCTAAAATCTAAACAACAAGAAAGAACTTTTTTATTTTATTAAAAATTCACAGAGCGATTTTAACTTTCTGCCAAACGCAGGATATACTAACAACAATTGATAAACATATTTATCAATTTCTATTTTGTTTTTTTTTTTTGTTTGCGAAGGATATGCCTGTTTTAATCCATTACAATATCTTTAATCGTTACAATATCTTTAAAAACTTTTCAAAAAAAAATTATTTGTACAAGTATTTTAGAAATTACACTAACAATTTTCCCACTCTTTGAAAATTGAGAAAAATATTCATACAATCTCTTTCGAATATTCATATACAGAATTTAAATATTACTGTTTCAAATTAGTTTTGAGTTTAGATTATACATTTATTTTCGAGATAGTATAAGGCAGCCATGATAACAACTTATGCATTTTATAAAGGAAAAATTTTATCGAAATATTAACCCTATTGTTTAACGCGTTCCAAATTCAAATATAGTAAGTGCTTTAGTTTCCGAGGTTATGAAGAAAGTAACATTTTGATAACTATTATAACATGATTGATAACTATTATAACATGATTTTGATAACATTTTGATAACTATTTCAAGAACTTACTCGTACTTATAGTGCATGAACAAATGTTGTTGAAATATTGGCTCTATTATCAAATTTGTTTATACATTACTTGAATTATAGTCTCCAGGATTATAGTAAATAATGAAACCACTGCTTCGATCTAAACTAAATTAAATAAGATTTTTGCAGTTAAGCATTGGTTCGTACTACCCAAAGACCAAAGTCATATTTCCATTTACACTGATTATCATTGAAAAATCACAAGAGTTACACAAAATATTGTAATAAATATAAGTATAAATAAGAGTAATTGTACATATGAATATACAGCAATTACATGGAAAATATTGTGTAAATTTGAATACATCGATTGCATTACATATGCTCAAGCTAAAACCGATCGCCAATTTGAACTATACCACCAATATAGAAAAAGAAAACCTAAGCGGCTATAAATTATTTCACTTATTTTACATTAAAAATATAAAATATTCATAGATACGTCTGTATTTTACAAAATAAATTTATATGTACCAATTAATAACACTTAAATATAAGTACATTCTATGTACGTATACATGTTCCAATAGTGATTAATCACATCACCCATCCAGACAAAAGTAATCTTTCTAAATAAAAATTTATTTTCTTATTTTCTAATACGTTTTTTACTATCTAAAAAAATTAAAATTTACAATAGCGCAAATAATATAATAATTTTTCATATGTTCATATATGTACATATGTCTATGTTTGCGAAATACAAACGATCACTATATTAAAACAATAAATAAGAATATAAGAATAGCAATGCATACATAATTTGTTTGTTACAATATGTAATAAATCATCAAAACATCAAAATATTGGAATAATTTGGCATAAAATTTTTATGCATCGGTGCACTTGAATTAAACTCAATTGTAAAATATATAATGCCCCATTACAAATTGATGTTGCGCCGCAGATCAAATTAATTTTTTTTTGTGCCTACACAAATATTACAAATTTATATGCTAATTTAAATTTAAAAGCAAAAAAAAAAAGAAAATTTTCTTTTTTATTTTTTCAACTAAAATTAAAATAAATTTACTGGCTATTTATAATGTTCCATTTAGCCGTAATTTACTTTATAGTTATACATATAGTATTTATGTATAACATATATAAGTACTTCTGGCTCGAGATCGTAAATAACATAATAATTTACGCATAATTTTTTTTAAACTTATCCCAAATTACACTACTGCCCAATGTGTATACAACTTATATAATGGAAAATAATATTTATCTATATTAATAAGAAAATAATATTTATCTATACCATATATTTTAAGAAAAATGCATAAATCTACACACTTCAAAATTGAAATAGTAAAAATGGATACTTAAAAAATATTTAAGGGCATTAATTCAAATAAGAAATTACTAATACAAAATAAATGTAAACAATATTTATTAATAATTTAGAAAATATTTTAATTTACAGTAATCCCACCTATAAGCGGTACTCTTATGACGTATTTTCATACTACGCGATTTCAGTCCTTTGCATAACGTGGGGATTTCTATTAAAAAGAGATGTCGGTGGAACGTTATTTGAGATACCTCCGACAGCGAATAAACATTTAACAAAACTGTTTTTGGATTTATGTAATTTATTTGAAATTGACCGTTTTTTAGTTATATGTATATGCACAAGTTTTTTATTTGAAATCTTCTTAGTTTGATTTTAATAAAACGCACATACATATTTCGTTCATAAAATAGTTTTTTCATAAGATTCAATTTAAACCCCTTTAACGAGAATAGTTAAACGTGAATCATTTGTACATAACGCGTTATACGAGAAAACTTCTACAATACGTTTTCCTATAACGCGGAACGAGTCTACCGTGTTATAGAGGAGATTACTGTAAATAACGTAGAAAGTTTAAATATTGATAAATAGTTCAAAAAAAAATTTTAAATTTACATAAACGTTCATACAATGATAATAAATGGTAATACTAAAATAGATCAATTTAATAATTTAAATACACCTTCTTGTATTTTCTCATCACAATGAAATTAGAAACAACGTGCAATTCAAATTTGAGACTTTTTTAATCCTTCAAAAACATTATTTTTTCAAATAATACATTTTGTGTACTTATTGTAAACATATTGGGTATCATATTGGTATATTCACAATTAATTAAATTTTTTTTTTCATTTTTCAAAATTAAACAAAGAAAATTTTTTTCAATTTATTTTCCTTTTTTTATAATTTTTTAATGTTATATAGAAATCTCGATTTAAATCCATTCAATTGTAATTGTCATTTATCATGGTTCTCGGATTGGTTACGCAAAAAGAATTTCTCAGGTGGTAGTGCACGTTGTGTTATACCATCACGTGTACGTGATAATCAAATACAAGATATTGCACATCACGAATTCAAATGTACTCCAGATAATAATGAAGGATGTTTAGGTGAAGGATATTGTCCACCATTATGTACGTGTACTGGAACAGTTGTCCGTTGTTCACGTAATAAATTAATTGAAATACCAAAAGGTATACCAACAGAAACATCAGAATTATACTTGGAATCAAATGAAATTAAAATGATACATATGGATCGAATAAGTCACTTGAAACATTTAACAAGATTGTAAGTCCTTTTAATAATAAAATCGAAATTGTGATGCATGTATGTTTAAAAAAAAAAATATTTTTATCAATTCTTTCAACTTAAAATTTTTTATAAGGATAATATTATTAGCTGAAAATAAATTGAAAAAGATGATGAAAAAAAATTTAATTTAATATCATTTTTTTTTGTTTTCAGGGATCTGAGCAATAATCAAATTAAATTTCTTTCCAATTACACATTTTCGAATCTTACAAAACTGTCAACATTGTAAGTATAAAACTTTTTGAAAAATTATTTAAAATTAACTATAGGACAGTTCGAATGTACAATAAAACAGTTCGAATACTTTAGAATAGCACAAATTAAAATTATATCTAATTGAAAAAAATGAAAATGTTGCTTTTGAACCTGCTGTTTTTGTAATAATGACATATATAATATATTCATTGAAAAGCCTGTGTATGAGGTAATGGAACACAACCTCATTCGTAAACTTAATTTATGCTTACAAAATTCAGAGTCAAGTAGTTGCATTAAATAATGTAGATTGAAAGTATACAAATAATTTCGCAACAAATAGTACATATAGCACTCCTTGAGTCCTTGCGTTATGATGCAACAAAAAACTTTATTTCTTAGTTGACTTATTACAATTTGCATTACTAATTTTCTACTCGTACTTAAATCACTTAAAATTTTAAGTTCAGATGTTATAACATTTTTAAATTAAAATTAATTTGTAAAATTGTATAAAATTCTTAAAAAAATCAAAACATTTCATAAAACATAAACACTTTTAAATATTAATATCCGATTGTTTTAATTACATAGCACATTCTAGATCTAATAAATATCAAAATCCTGGAACATGCAAAAGATTTTGAAAATAATTTCATATAAATTAAATTTTACAATATTTTTTAAAATTAATTTTACAATATTACAAAATTCTTTCACACAAAAATCAAATTTCAACGCATTAACGCGAGTAATTCCCTTTTATACAAACAAATTGAAATTTCATGGTACCAAAATAAAATGAATAATAGTGCCTAGGTAATACTCGTCTATAGATACAATCAATAATATAAATTACTATAGCACCACAACATAATTGCACTTTATAATAAATATTTATTGGTAAAATATTATTTTTGTTTGTACTTTAACTTTCATAAAATTGCACAATATACATGTAACCTATACATACATGTATAAATTTTTAAAATTTGCAAAACAAATTAAATTTATAGTTTTTTAAATAATAAGTAATAAATTTGAAAACTTCGTAAATATTATCATTTGCTGAAAAAATAACACAAATATTAGATCTAAATAAATTTTTTCAAACGATGAACATTTTACCGAGATAGTATTGAAATTTCAATAGTTGTATGTATATTCTATACAATTTAAATACAATGTACAATTTCATGATAAATATGTATAGATGTAGAATAGGATAATAATAATATGTAAATTTACACATCCGGTGTTAATGTTAACAAGACTACTTTTACAATAGTAGCCCTTTGACATTTAGTTAAATTTAAATTCCTTTTTACTTTTTAAATAAAAAGTTAATAAAAATAATATAATATTGTATACATATGTGGTGGTGCAGGTTTTCATTAATTCAAAAAGTGATTTGAAAATTTCTCATAATTATTCCAAATCAGAAGACAACACATGTTAAAATTAAAAGCATTTGTTAGAAGTTGTCTAATTGAATACAATATAATTCAGTTGATTACAAAAACCTATACAAATCTTATACATTTACTATTCCAAAAATGAGAAATTCAGATCAAACCGGTGGTTTCTGAGGTAGCACATTTTCTAAAATGGGACAAAATAACTTTTTTTTAAAACAAGGTTTAAATTTCAAAAGGTTTAAAATATTTTCTAAAAGATTCTGTAATTAGTTGTAAGGTTCAAATTTCCAGTGGCTTTACTATGCAATTCTATTTCCGTGAAGCGATTTCCGAATTTGCAGAAATGGAAATGTAAAACCATATAAATTGATTGCTACTGCCTTAACATTTTTCCGAGTACGAAAATCGTTTCATAAAAGTTGAATTACATAGTAAGGCCCCTTGATTTAGAAGCGCAGTTCATTATATTAAATCCGAAAAAAAAAAATTTAAAGTGTCAAAATTAGGTAACATTATACATGAGACCACTGTTCTGAATGTCACTTCTTTGCAAACTCTTAAAATAGTTCCAAATATAAATATTGCACATCTTAACTTAAAGAACTGAAATTAAGGTGTAATAATTTTAAAAATATTATTTGACTTTATTTAATTAATATCTTTATACATGTGTACATTAAATAGAAAATTTATTGTAATACACTTTCAGATAAAGTATAAATTCTATAAACAATTTTGTGTTTCTTTTAATTAACAACAACCCTGAGTATTACCATCTCTTTGGTGTATTCTAAAAAATTGATGTAGATACACATGTATAAAATATACATATATATGTATATTGTAAAAAATATAATATATTAACGCACTATATAAAAGTATAACTTCTAATTCTGCAATGTTTCTTTATAAAATTATTATATAAATTCGCTTTGGGAAAAACAGTCAACATCCTGTCCCAATATTTATATATCTATATCTCTATGCATATGTATGTGTATATAAGATCTATTTATGTACTTATAGAATTTATAAACATATAATATATATACATATATATTTTAAGTAATGTTAAACCTTTCTTTAATAATAACACATGTCGTAAAATGTGTTGGTAAAATGATTCGTGATTTCTTTGAAAAATGCAACTAGAGAAAAATTTTATTTCAATACCTATAGGTAAATGAACACATATCTACACATTTTACGTTACATGTTAGTATTATTACGTTATTCAATATACATGATAAGTACACATAGGTATATATGTGTACCAAAAATAATAAAATTTTATATAAAAATAAAAAATATATAAATTTTCATTCAAAAGACATTAAAAATTTTCTATAAATTTAGTTCTACATTCAAGGATAAATAAATGATGGAAATGCAATTTTATAAGTAAAAATTCAAAATAAAAAGAAAATTGAAATTTTTATTTGTGGATTAAAGAAAATTTACAATATTACACGAATGTGGTTTTAAGAAAATTATGTGGAAACATTTTTCATTAATTTCAATTTTATAATTTCTTAACAAATTTGATAGGATGATAGATTTTTCCTTCGGCTGAACTCTTTTCCATAATTAGTGTTGATGTCGAAATCATTTATTAAAATAGAAGAATTCCTATTAAATTTGATTTTAAATGTATAGCTTATTATAAATTATGTACGTGAAATAGAAAAAAAAGCTAAGACAGTAAGACAAATAACAACAACAACACAATGAGACAACATTTTTATGTTAGATCTTTCTGTTCACATGCACAGTTCTTGACTGCATCATATGCAAATTAAATGTAAAACGTTAAAAAAGGTTGCCTCTAATTTTAAAAATGTTTTAGATTCAATGTTTATTGAAAAAGCCATTCACTTTGTCAATTTATGTTTAAAAATTAAGAATAAAATTGAGACTAAAAGAGACTATTGAGACTAATACACATATTGATTTATAATTTAATATTGTTTAGTCTAATACGTTAAATTAATATCTTACTTAAACCATCCTCTAATTTTAATTCAGAATAAATATTTTAAATTTCTTTTACTATTTCCGACAATTTGAAAACCTTTTAAAAGAACCTATCTTGGATAACTCTCTCTTAAAAGAAGAATTTTTATGAAGCAGTAAAATCATTACAAAATTTATATTATTATAAAATGAATTTGCAATGCACATACGTACAACATTATATATTCATACAGATATTTTAAAAGGACATGAAAGTGCTACATATGCAATAAAATTCTATTAAAATGCTGTAAGCATAATAATTTTTTCATTGCACGACATTTTATTAAAAAAAAAATAAAAAATAAAATTTAAAAACAAAGAATCGTAGATTTTAGATTTTATAATTGAAGTAAATATTTCTCTAAAGCCATTAAATGCAATAATAAAAAGTATATTTGTACACTTGTATTTTTATTATTTTCGTACTACATTTATATTAAAAGTAGGTATATTATAGTATATAAACTTGAACTTTTTATTTTAAATTTATGGCTTCATCAATTTAACTTTAAGTTTAAAATTAGAAAATTTTCTATTTAAAATTTGAGGTATTTTGTATTTGTACATACATATGTATGCATATATGAAATAGTTATTATAATCTTTTAGAATTGTAGATAAAAACGGAAATTCTTTTACAGTATATTTATTAAATATAAATTATAAGTTAAAATTAAAATTCATAAGGGACAAATTGATATAAATGATGAACTCATAATGTGTATAAAGAGAGTCTATTATAATTATCCTTGAAGTTTTCCTAATGATGTTTTTGATCAAATATTTATTGAACATAAATGAACCAAACTAATATTTTTATTACAAAATTGCTTATACGAATAAATAAAGCTATGTTAAATAAAAAAAACTATCTGTTATAGATGACAGAATTGGAAAATTCACTAAAATCTTAAGCACATATAGAAAGGAAGAACAAAATTAATTTATTTACACAACTAAATGTAAATAACTATATCTTTGTACTTACTGTATCTATATTATAATAGTGAATATTATATAATATTTTTAATGTAAATAAAATTATCTATACATAAACGTACTCTAAAATTTCGAAATGAATCAAAGGAAAGTCATAATGTGTACTTGTATATTATAATTTATAGAAATAAATATATATATATTTGTATATAATTTCATATAATAAATTTTTGAAATCCTACATAATTAATAGATCCATTCATTGATGTTTTTAATTATAGGATTCACATTATTATATACATACATTCATACAATTTAGATATTTATATTTTGTATGTTTTGTGTGAAAACTAAAACACATTGTTGTAGGTATCAATACAATTAGGATTAAAGAGCATTTCCGCAAAATTTTTAAAAAATTTATTGAATGTGAGATGATATAAAAATTTTTGTAATAATATTTTTAATTTTTGAATATTACGGCATAAAATCAAACAATTATTTACTAATTAATATTCAATTTGCACTACAAACCATATTTATGTAGTTGTATGTGATGCACATAAAATTATATTGAAATTTTATTCAGATAAAAAATATTATTTAATTTTGGAAATAAATTTTCAAATGCTTGATAAATTGTTGTACATATTATGT